ATATATCTCCACAGCCCCATCCCCCTTATTATGTGGGGATCTGGAGGCTCTGTTTTTGCCTTTTGATCTGTTACTGTGTAATCACTGTTAGTTGGAGTCTTTTCGGGAGATATGTCAGTAAGAAAACAAAGTGTAGACTACCCTTAGCGTTGTTCTTTAACCCCCTTCTTCTTAGCAGTGTATCAAGCTCACCTTACTGTTGCAACTGGACGAGCCTTCTTAGCTGTGGCTGCTGGAACACAGGCTTCCTCCTGACACTCTTTGACCAGAGTGTGTTTGATGCCAACACCAGCAGCCAGCCCACCTGCTGCCTTTGAGGATACAAGCAATACGCTGTAGAAACTGAAGTGGAATAGCTTGACATGAGATGCTGCACCAATGCTTTCATCACACTGTCTCGTATGTCAGTGTTTCAGTCTATTCTTACCATGTTATCCAGGAGCCCAGGGTACGTCTGCTTGGTGTGGGAGCGCCGTGCCAACCACATACAAACCTCCTGACTGTCACTGACAGTGTAGCCATTGATATGAACTCCATACCGCTTCACCCCAAAGAGACCTGCAGTGTAGCAGCATGGTCTGCTCATACAGCTCAAACACAGGTATAATATAAAAGCCTGAGACGGTGCTCCAAAACCTACTTGTAGCTGCTCTTTCCATCCACATCAAAGGGCAGTCTGAAAATCTGGGCATTACACTGTATTTCTGAAAGAACAGATGTTTTAGTGTTATAAGTGAGAACATGTAAGTTGATTTAACCTTGAACATTTTTTCACACCTTCCACCTATATTTAAGACAGTGAAACTATCTTGCTTTGCCCTTTTCATTCCACCTGCTTATAACCATTCAGAGAAGTAAACAACTGAACCCAAAGCCAAAATGTAATGCAATGCAATTTGGTTAGCATGGTGGTTAGGACTCTTGCCACACAGCAAGAAGCTGCTGGGTTTGACTCCACCATCTGGCGGGGCTTTTCTTTATGAAGTTTGCATGTTCTCCTTGTGTCTGCATGGGTTCTCTCCAGGTTCTCCGGCTTCTTCCACCAGTCAAAGTCATGCAGTTAGTGGGATTATTTAAATAGATACATTTACATAATCCCATAATAAGGTGATCAGGCACCCTGCTCGGTTAATAAGCTGGCCAAAGGAGCCACTGACATCAAGACCAGGAAACTTCTGACCATGCATGGAGGGTTTCACCCCAAGTCCAGCACCCTGAGGCTGTATGTTAAGCGTAGGGAAGGAGACCGGGGATTAGTGAGTGTCCACAGTCCAGGATGAGGCAACGAACATCCATGAATACATCAGGAAGAAGGGGGCCATCTTCCTGACTGCGTGCTCAGTGAATACCTCAGGCAGCAGAAACCCAAGAAAGTAAAGGAAGAGGAGAAACCATCATGGAAGGACAGGCCCCTGCACGGTATGTACCACTGGCAGATAGCGGAGGTGGCTGATATCCAGAAATCCTACCAGGGCTGAAAAAGCTGGACTAGAAGACAGCACAGAGGCACTAATGAGGACTTCCAGGTTATACTCGGCACAGATGTTCCTGTATACTATGCCAGCCACTTGGTTATGGTGCTCCATGCCGGCTAGCATCTTGCACCCTGCTGTTATGTGCTGGATTGTCTCAGGGGCATCTTTCCACAACCTGCACCTGGAGTCTTGCCTGGTGTGGTAGACCCCAGCCTCTATGTGCTCAGAGCTTGTTCCTGTGCTGCCATGATTAGTGCATCTGTGCTGTCTTTCAGTCCGGCTTTGTCCAGCCACTGGTAGGATTTCTGGATGTTAGCCACTTCCTCTATCTGCCTGTGGTACATACCGTGCAGAGGCCTGTCCCTCCATAATGGTGCCTCCTCTTTCTCTGCATTCTTGGGTTTCTGCTGCCTGAGGTATTCATTGAGCAAGTGAATGAAGGCTCTTAGGATCCTGTTGACCTTTTATAGTTCTAGGCATTCCAAGATCCAGGTGTGCGGCATCGAGCCACAGGCCTTCTTGTAATCAATCCAGACAGTGCATAAGTTGGTCAGCCTGGTCTTGCAGTCTCAGGCAACTGCTCTGTCTACCAATAGCTCGCGTTTGGCTCCTCCTCTTGCCAATCCCTTTCTGTGCCCCGCTATCGAGCTATGTGTCTGTTCGTCTTAGCTGCTATGATGCTTGACAGGAGTTTCCATGTGGTACTGAGGCAGGTTATTGGCCGGTAGATGGATGGAACCGGTTCCTTTTGGGGGTTAACCATTCTGGGTGTCTCTCATCCACTAGCAGCTGGTTCATTTGTGCTGTCCAACTCTTCATACTGGAGACCTTTTCTTGGATGTCTGCCACTGTAATGGTTACTGGTCTCTGTTCAGGGAGGTTGCTGGGGTTTGCTCTTAGATCCACTAGCCACTGAGCATTGCCGTCATGTGTTGTGTCCTTCTCCCATATGCTCTTCCAGTATTGCTCAGTCTCTGTATACCTTGGATGGTTCTGCCTTCTATCTTTCTGGTGTACCTCTTAAAGTGGCTGGCCAAGGCTGTCAGTCTTTCCTTGGTAGTTTCCAAGGCCTCAGGTAGAGACAGCGTGCTGTACTTCTTAGGCACCTTCTTCATCGCACCATTTTGCAGCTCCTATAGTTGGCTAACTTTCCTCCGTGCTTCCTTGATCTTGGCCTTTAGCCTCCTTTTCCATGGACTGTACTGCTCCTTGTGGCTGTTCTACTTGTAGCCAAGCACCTCATTGATCACTGCTGCCATGATGTAGATCAGCTGGTTAGTTTCGGTGATGGTTGCAGTAGGTATGGTCCATAGTGCTGCATTCACATCACCTAGTAGATCCTCAAAGGGTATTTTACGTAGTCTTGGTAATCGGCTACAGAGAGTCCAGGTTTCAAGCTTTGCAATGTTCCTGTTTTTCAGGTCAGTTCCCAATCTCAGGTGGGCTGTTCCCCCCTTGCCGTTGCATGTGTGTGTGTGTGTGTGTATATAAAAAGTAAAAATAAAAAAAATACTATTTTGCTATATCATATAGTACTCTGAAACTGAAGTGCATGATCCTGCTGTATAACCCATACAGCATGATAATGTTCTAATACACTTGCAAGTCATGACAAATGGTTTGCACTGCAGTTCTCATTGCCAAGGGTAGCACAACCAGTTCTTAGGTTTAGAGGACAAATGAACCTCTTTTCCACTAGTACCTACTCATCTTGAGTCAACTCAACTAGACTCAACTTGGATTAGGTTGTTTTCCAATATAACTGAATACCATACCAATATGTTCACACTGTGGGAGTTAGCTAGCTGGGAAAACCTCTTACCAGCTCACATCAAGAACATTTGTGTGGTAGCTATTACATCCTTGGAGACACAGCTTGTCCCTTGCAAGGCTTGTTCTTGAAACCATTTCATGACACTGGACATTTAAAAAAGAAAATCATTTGAGCATGGCTGGTTATTGATAATGCTTTCAGCAGACTGAAGGGAAGGTGCCGTTGCCTTCCTAGTCATGTCCCCACAAACGTACTCCTGTTTAATGTCACTATGAATTTTGACAATAAAGTTGTGTTCTGTCTCCATCTTTGTTTCTAAGTTTTATTTTTCCTGGTGACCAAGATTCAGTGATACAAATTAAACGTTAAAAGATACATTTAACTTGTTTGTGTTATGTTAAATCCTATTAAACACTAACAGAGTTATAGGAAATGCCGACACCAGTATGACACAGTTTCTTGATATACTGTTGCAATAACTAAAATGTGCAATATCTTCTGCATTGGCGCATCCAATAATATAGTGTTTTTTGTGATGACTTTACCTGGTGAAGAAGATTATTTCTTTTGGTTACTTTTTATTACAAATGAGCTGTCATTGCACCAAAATTTCACTGATAATTGTTTGGTTCATACTTTTTTCCTACTGGTGTTGTAACAGACAACCCCCCCCCCCCAAAAAAAAAAAAAAAAAAAAAAATCACATACACAATGGTCACTGAATTCTTTATTATAGTCAGCAGCAAAATCCAAACGATTTACAATGTGCAAAATGAAAGCTGAAAAGTTAAACTATATACATTTATTGCATTCATGACGTAAAAATACTGGTGACTGCCAGTGCTACCCCTCAGCCTCCTACTAGCCACACCTATGGTATTAATTTCAAAATCCTACATTTTTGAGTTACTGCTTTCACAAGACTTTCAGAAAACTTGACCTCTGACCTTTCAAGTCAAGGTCACTGAGATTTAAACCTGTCCCCGATTTTTAGTAGTTGCACCTATGGTTTCAATTTAAATGTCCTACGTGACTTCCTTCTTGAGTTATCACATTTACAAAATTAGGAGTCCATGCTGCACGCTCGCCAACAAGGTGACGACGATACCACATCAGCCTTTCATAGCTGAGGGGTAAAAATGTCACTCATGCTGGCAACTCATTGCCTGTACAAGCTCACCCAGCACAAAGAGGAATGCCTGGATGAAGGTAGCACTCTGTAATCTCCTTCCTCTGGAAGATGGCTTTTTGCTCCATTGCTTACATCTCTCACTGAGAAGCAAATCGATTGTGCTGTTCATGGTGGGCCAGATTTAGGACACTGAGCATGCATCTCTTCAAGTACACTTGTCAGGTCCGGTTTGGTGTGGGTCCTCTTCCTCTTGCGAAAGGCAGAAATGGGAGATGGTTAATGAAAGCCAGTTTAAAAACAATATTGTGGAAATGCACTTGGAGCTAAAAATATTTTGTTCTTGGAAGTGACTACTTGGAGTTAGAGTTGATAGTTAACCATCTAGGTTATTGTCTGCATATAGGAGACAATGGTATTACCTTTAATTTTTTTTTTTATTCTTGTGAGTTCAAAGTGAGCTTACCACCAATAGGATAATTAGCATAAAAGACGGATTAACCCATAAAGAACTCACCATCCTCATTATGGTTTCCAACAATGCTGTAGCCGAGTCAAGCCCAATCTTCCTCCTGTTGCTTGCCGGTCAGTGCCTGCAGATGCAGCCCATTTGATTGAACCATTTCCAGTCGAACCACTCTGACTGTGGTGGTCCTTGATGGTCCTGCAATCGCTTTTATATTTGATAGGTTTTTGTTGAGATTGCTCTTGTACGTCCTCTGGTATCCCTGAGCAGCCATCAGCTCACAGATCTCCTGGTACACATTCTCATTTCAGGTTGTTCTGCCTGGTTCCTGCTATCATCAGTCACCAAGACCAAATAAATATGCATATCATGATTGGTCTAAGGTATTGGTTTTTGCGTAGACACTTCCCCAATTACAAAAATGGCAGGTTTGATTTTTGTGAAGGACTTGCTTTTATGTGACATTGAGTCAGTGGTTCCCAAACTTTTTTTTTCACTAGGCTCCTTTGTTTTACAAGAAAATCTTCGCACAGCCTCCTAAACTGCAGCCTATTTGTTGAATCAGAGGTTAGATCAATGAACTGTTCCTCCTTGGATGTGCTGAAGTCAGCAGGGGCTGTTCATCATATTTTCTTGTCTTTGGCTTGGAACGAAGTTAGTTTGGCGATGCTTCATCTTCTGCTTTGCATTTGCGTGGGAGCCCCCCCACAGCACTGAGTGATGTCACTGACTGGCAATCGGTGGAATGCAGTCTACCAATGTCACATTTTTGGATCGACTCTGCTCACTTGGAATCCCGACAGATAGTAAAAAAGTACCTGGAATAAGGAACTACTACCCAATGGAAAACCCAAAAAACCGAGTCGAGCCAAGTGGAGCCAAGTAGGCACTAGTGGAACAGAAATATGACTCTTCTCCCCCCTATCTCCTCCCTTACCTTCTATGTCTTCAAGGTGTATTGTTCCTTTAACCCTTCCCCCCCCCCCACACACACACACACTTTCACTTAGGCCTAGGCACATAAAAACTAATGCTAAGAAAGGTGGCAAAAACGTTTTCAAAGCAGTGTTTATTGTAGGGCATAGGCCTAGAAATCAAAACACACTTTATAGCTGGAATTGGAGTCACAAAATTTAAAAAAAATTCACTTTCATGTTGGATTTAGAAAACAGGACAAATTGTATCACAAAACAGAGGACAGTGTAATCCACCCACAACGCCAAAGGTTTGTAGGAACCCTTCAGTTCCTACAAACACTACTTCCTCTACATTTGCGCGTACTTGAGTCTCAGATGTTGCAGTGAGGACACACTTGCAAACAATGTTCCCTCTAAGCTGCGCGCGTGCTGGCACGGTCTCTGCACACAAAAAAATCTGCGTTGCGCACAAAAAAAAAAATTACAATTGAAACTTAACAATTCTGTTTTGCAGTGTTAGTCAGTAAGTGACTGGCTGCACCCGTGTAAGTGGGCTAAAGCAGTTAATTAAAAGTAGTCTAACATAAATGTAAATGCTGTAATTTGCTTATTTTAATAAACCATATAATTTGGATAGATTCGATGCTGGCGTGACCACAGTAGACATGTCTGCTGTTGCTCACAGTGGTCCAAGGGACCGCTCAGGGAGTTTGTGTGTTCGCTCAGACACATGAAAAATTAGAGGGAACGTTGCTTGCAAAGTTGAAAGGTTTTTAATAAATTCTGACTTTGGCACAGGGCTGGGGGTCAGGCTTGGTTTTACAACTCGTGATACAGTTGGCCACGGGTAAAGAGTATGTAATGCTTCCAGTGAAAAACCACACAAAGACACGTTTGACTTGCGCGCCTCACTTCATCTCTCCATCCTTTAAGGCAGGTTAAAGAGGGCTCCTGTCTGAGAGATTGCAGTACATGACTCACAGCCTCGGATCTCTTTTCGTACGAGTCCAGGCCGTGGCAGAGGGTCACTGCACCCTGGTGTGGCGGACTGAACACGTCTGGATAGCGTGCTAAAAGCGAAGCTACGTGAGGAGGTATCCAGCCGACCTGGGCTCCTTCAATCTCAAAACGAAAGCAGCTTGAACGACACGAACCTGTGGAGAGAAATATAGACGTGGTTACTTATCAAACTGCCTTCATCCGTTTCATCCTTTCTCTTACTGTCACCCGCATACCTGGTAAATAAAAGTTATTCATTTTACGGAGGAGCTGGAGTATGTTTTCTGCCCAAGAACAACTAGCCATTTTAAATGTCTTTAAATAACTGCACACACAACTCAGCTGCTAGCACTGTAGCCACTCTACTGCGCATGCCCACGATACAGCCGCTGTAGTGAGATTTCTCCCTGAGATCTGCTTGTCAGGCAGCACTTCCACTGACCCGCTGGGTAACGGGAAAAATGACGGCAACAAAAAGGTCACTGTAGTAAAGATTCTTATTTTATTTTATTTTTTTGCCCATTCACATCTCATCTCCATCATTTTATCATGAGGTCTCCCCCCACTAGTGCTATGCGATGATATTGCAAATTTTGGTATTGATCCGATACAGGGCCTGCATATCAATACTGATACTGTAACTTATAAAGGCAGCTTATTTCGAGGAGAGCAGCCATGATCTTCATACATTTGCAAATTTGCAAACACATTATAATGACTACTAAGTCACTGTTATTTCCACTAACCTCCCCGTTCATATTCGCACTGCCGAGTCTATCCAGTCTTTTAAATTACGTCTTAAAACTAATTTTTTTACTTTGGCTTTTGATTCTGTCTAGTTGGCTGTTTTAGCTTGTTGCGTTGTTACCTATTGTTTGTTGTCCTCTTCTATTGTTTGTTTTAACTGTCTCATGTTTTTATTGACTGTGAAGCACTATGGTCAACACTGTTGTTTTTAATATGTGCTATATAAATAAATTTTGATTTGATTTGATTTCCACAATAATTAATTAACACAATAAACACACCTTTTAACCTTTAGTGTATTTTAAAACTTTTTAAAAAACTATTAACCTGGATTTTTAATGTGTCTGCCCTCAAAATACTTGGGGGCAGTTTCTCCTCTTTAAATGTGCTCTGTACATAAAATAGACTTGACAGTCAACACAATATATTTATATATTCCTTATGTGGTGAGAGCAGGAAGGTAGTTCCTGGAGGATAATGGAATTGATACCATCTAATAGAAAACCTCTGGGACTTTATTTTTGGTCTATCCAACACCACCAGGTTACACCTCAGACTGTTTTGGAGCTCAGTGATTTCCTGGTCCATATGTGGGAGGAGACTCCAGGACTCCATTGGTTGTCTCAATAGGACCATGCCCTGATGTTGTTAGACATGCTTACAAACCTCGTTGTTTGCCTATTGTTGTTTGTTATCAACATTATCCTAGCCTAATGATAATAAGCCCCAAATCTGCTAAGTCTTTGGTGATTGCACTTGCATGTTTTCAGGAACAAATTAATTTCATTTATGTTTGCTGATAACACCCATAAATGTCTTGTTTAATCTCTTACTTTAGAAAATTCTGAAACTTCTGTGCTGCTATGGCTGCTAGTGTGTGCTGCCAATTTCTATTGCAAGGCTCTGTGATCTGGCTTTGTTGCAAAATAAATAAATACATTTTAGAAAAGTAATAATCCTTTTGTTCTCATGCTTATAGCATTTAACTGTTTCCTTCTTATTATTAGCAAGAACAATTAGCTGTACAAAAACTTATAGAAACTTAGTAAATATAGAAACATGTAAAAAGTCTTGATAGCTTTCTTATTTTTTAATTGTAATGTTCCTAAGAGAGAACCTTGGGAATGGAGCAATCACTGAACAGAAAATACAACACACACACACACACACATTTGTTAGGTAGCTTCTGTTTTTTGTATTTTGTGGCATTTCAGCCTCCACACCAATGGAGGGCAGTAATGTACCATCTGGGAGCGCCAACCACCAAGAAAAATAACAAAGGAAGAAGAACTATACAGAAAACTATTCATGCTAGCTGGGTACGAGCAGGAAATCTTAATTGTATTTGTTTTCAAATTTAGGCTTCAAAAATAGAGCGACAGTTTTCTGTATGAAGACGAAAGGAGACGGATATCATCAGCTTTATATTTTGACAGTAATTTACTGGAATAGGTTCAGATTTACTAGATAGCATCCTTTCTGTCGGGACGACACCAACACACCGTTTTCAACATTACGTCCCAAGGCCAAGGTAAGCTTATTCAGCTCCCTCTATAATACTCTAATCTGCGGGAGCGTCGTTACATCCTGTTCGATCAGGCCAAGAAAGCATTCAGTTCATTTCAATATGTTAGTTAGTTTGTTGCAAACAAATTCAAACCCCAACAATTTAATTCCGTCACAAAACAGTGATGTCTCCTGTAGTTTTTCCAGTGTAGACAAAGTACACAGTAGATGCTGTCAGTGTTTACTACAGCTAGCAGCCATTTAGCCCCGTATACAGTTACGGACGCTCTGCAGTCATTCCCAGTATTACTGGAATAATTCTGCACATTCCCACCCTTCTCTGAACTATGGTGTGTTTTTTGCTATAGTCAGGAGATCATTTATTCTAATTACTAAATCTTTTACAACATTATACAATCAGTAACATCTGTCCACCCCCTGCTGTCACCTGTCTGTAGGTGAGCTCCTCCGAGTCTTCATGGCTTCATCAGAGGTAAACATGCAGGAAATGAATGAGGTTGTGATCGTCACCTTACCGGAGTCGGGGAGCGAGGACCTCCCCTCTGTGGCAGAGGAGGATAAAGCAGTGCTGGTCACTGCAGAGTTGACCCCTCAGACCGGGTAACACATACTCACTGCACACATGGCCTTGTGGTCAAAATGTAAAATAAATGGGAAGGGGCAAATTTACTGAAAGATATAAGATGAGTAATAGTGAGATAGAAATGCAAAACTGCTATAAAGAGACAAACAGGTCCAAAGATGAGCAAGATGTCGACAAAAACACAAAATAAAAATATGCAAAAGTGCACGCTACAAAGAAATGCAACAAACACAGAAATGTAAAATCACTGAACATGTACAAAAATGGAAAATAAATAAAATAAAATGACTGTCATACAAAGTGAGAGAGATACAACATTAAAAATAAACTCAAACAACTGTAATAGGATGCAGAATAGCTACATAAAGAACAGAAATACTGTAGGTGGACTGCCAACTCCACTTACTTGACAGTCATATATATACAAAATAACATATTGTACATGAAATCACATACAGCAGATGTACTGATATGCAGAAGTTTGCTGTTTTTTCCCCCTCAGGGAGAATGTCCTCACGGTAGCACCAATGGAAGCAGAGGCCATCAGAGCAGATTCACTGGCAAAGGAAGACGCAGTCATTGGTAATTTGAACTGAACTTTTCTTTATTAGCTTCAGCTGGATTAATTTTTCTTGTTTTCCACTTTGTTTGCATAATTTTCTGTAAAGAATAAACTGCCGTGCCATTTTTCACTCTTCTGAATTTTTCAGAAGTAAATAAAAGAACGTGTAAGTGATGGTTTACTTTACAGTTTACTATGTGTCCTTATGAAGATGTTTGCATCTCTGTCTTTGCAGTGAAATTAAGTGAAGAGGTGGATGTGGAAGCTGACGTGTTCTACCCAATCACATGCGGAGACGTCAAAGCCACTCTGATCTGGAAGAAATTCGTCTGCCCTGGGATAAATGTGAAATGTGTCCAGGTACACAGTCGTTTTTAAAGCACTTAGCTTGTCCTAAATCTACACTGACTTGTTTTTCTTTCCTCTCTGATCAGTTCAATGAGCAGCTCATCAGCCCAAAGGAGTTTGTGTGTTTAGCAGGGAAATCCACTCTGAAAGACTGGAAGAGAGCTATCCGACTCAATGGCACCATGCTCAGGTCTGGACTTGTTATTAATAGACAGTAACTGTAGTGGATACAAACCCCACTGTGCAGTATATTTTTCAACACAATGTAATTTGAGAGAATCCAGTATTTAACCTTTTCAGAGTGCTTGTGTGCAGGACTTCTTATAGCTGCCTTCATCAGACTTGATCGTGTTACATTGTGTGTTAGTTTGCGATCTCAAATCAGCCTTTTGTACTGTCATCACCTCGCTGGGCGGGCGGGTGCCGTGGACACCTAAGTTTGTGAATGCAGTAATTGGAAAACGAGGCGACGTAGGAGCTTCAAATTGACAGCATAGGTGATTTCACTAAAAATCGTGCACAGGTTTGAATCTCAACACACCCACTGGTCGGACATGTTGACGCTTACATATGAAAGATCTAGCCAGGATCTGGCCTGATGGCTCGATTTTCCCCCGATATTTAAAATCTTTCACACAAGTTAACCATCATATGATTCCTTCCAGCGTGGGCTGTAATATGATGAGTCTGTCTCAGGTGTAATATGAGAGTATTTAGGTAAAATGAATGCTGCCTGAAATCATGTGGCATCGCTGAGCGGCTTAAACTTCCTCTCACTCTCATAACTGGGTTCAACCCATACAAAGGCTAAGTCTCTTTACTCCACCTTTAACATCATCATGTCTTCTGCAAAACTTTGACTTTAATAATAATAATAAAATAATAATAACAATAGACTTTATTTGAGGTCGCCTTTAAAAAGCCAAGGTCACCTTACAAAGAACAACATTAATAAAAGGAGCAATAGTCATTAAATACATAAAGAAAGTTAAAATTGCAAAACAGAACTTGATAAAAAACTTGATAAAAATCAGCACTAACGCGAATGAGCCAGTTTGAACAGATGTGTTTGGAGCTGTGACTTAAATACAGGAAGAGAGTTTATATTTCTAATGGCTGGAGGCTCTGCTCCTCGGAGTGTTGAGACGTGAGGACGGAACAGTAAGATGAATAGCAGATGAGGATCTGAGAGGGCAGGAAACAGTGGTGAAATGGAGCAGGTCACACAAATAGGAAGGAGCAGATTTATGGATACACTTGTACGTGAGAAGTAAGATTTTAAAGTTTATCCTTCTATGGGCAACCAGTGAAGCTGCTGAAGAACTCGAGTAATATGAGCTCTGGACGGAGTACGAGTTAGAAGTTGGAGTTTATGAAGGGACCTTTTAGGGAGACCAAATAGGAGGGAATTGCAGTAATCAGTACGGGACGTAATAAGACTATGGACAAGGATGGCAGCAGCATGGGTAGGAGGGAAGGGGCGGAGTCGGTTATTATTACGTAAGTGGAAGTATGCAGACAGGGTTATGTAACTAATGTGAGGCTGGAATGAAAGAGTATTATCAAGTATGACACCCAAACTCTTAACCTGAGGGGAGGGAACGGTGGGAGAACGTT